TTAATTGTGCAGAGGTAAATAAATCTCAAGAAGAAAAATGATTCTACATCGACAAAAGAAATTTTTATTTTGCAATCCTTGGAAAGACACGAAGCTCATTATCATGTGAATATTCTTGGAGTAATATCTTGTGGGAATCGTCGTTGAACTGTGTTCGAAACGTGGAGAACGAACGCGTGTAGACGCGTCTCAAATGAAATGTTTCGTTAGTGTGGAGGTCACTAGAAACTGAATCGCGTCGGTATGAGTTCCAAATGAGGTTTAAAAGGTTAATATCAACACAGTTCATACTCGAAATAAGCCGACATCGACATCATGTGTCGACGATTTTAATCTATGGTTGTGAATGCATTGAACAGTCGCCTTAGGTGATGATAGTGACATTTTTACAAGCGAACTACAGGTTTATTATGGTTCGAAACATTTTCTCGTTCTAAGTCAAAATATGCTTCAATTCGAACTTTGTAACTTCACTTAATTTTAGTGCATAAAGACTTAATTCTACCGATGTTAAATATTTAACGCTTTGTGTAAGTTTTCCTTTATTTGTTTTCAAATAAGATTTGGAGTTCTAAATAAAATGCTGAATGTTCGTAAGTAGCGGACATAAATATAGGACACTTTATTTTTGAAAATTTTTCGATGAAGACAAGGAGCTAGGTCAAATCCAAATAGTGATTTGGATAGCCCTTGAAATGCTCTATCGATTCCAATATGTGTCAAAGTTTCTAAAGAAACTTTCTGAAAAAAAAGTTTTCCAGAAAACCGTCGACTGAAATTTCAGCTGCTAGGAAAAATCGGCAAAAGTATTTTTAAATATAGTCATCTGAAAGAGCAATAAATTCTGAGCAAAATAACGGGTTGCCTAACTGTCCACGATGTTTCGTTGTAAAGTTATAGAAAAACCGAAAAAAATGCCCTAGTCGAATATCTTGTAAGCAAGATCTTGAAATCTTGGCACCGATAAGCAAGACCTTGATAAGATCTTGAAAAGATAACTTGTATGTGCACATCTTGGTTGTATCAGATAAATCTGTACCTAAGATCTTGTCAAGGTCATGAAAAAGATATCGTTCACTGTTATCTTCTCACAAGATCTTGAGTAAAACAAAAAGCGACATCATTAGTGTGTGTACATGCTGACTAGTCATTCATTGTTTTTGTATGCATACAGAGCCGTATATAAACAATATGATTGAGCACCCGAAACACACATTTTCAAAAATATTTTTGTCTAAACTATTTCTCGACTATTGATCGTTCGAGAACATGCTGATCTCGATCGATGATCGAGAGAGAACTACCCTGAAGCAGTCTGATGGAGATCGGGTCATCTCTAGATCAGGCAGGTTCCAAGATCCGACTTGCTTCAGTTATTCAGGATAGAAATAATTAAAATGAAAATAAATGGAAAAAATGTCATAAGATGCTTTTACAAAAAGAAACAATAAATGCGCTATATGATGGGTTCGAACCACGCTTTCAGAATGTATCATGCATTGTGTCGCAAATCACGACACATGCAACACGTTTTATTCTTAGTGTGTGCCCAAGATCTTATGAATCTCTATCCAAGATGTAGTTCAAGATCTTGATACAAGATAATAAGATTATCTTGTACCTAAATTTTCAACATCTGTTCACTTTTCTGTACCAAAGATCTTGGCCAAGATTTTGTTTACAAGATGTTCGAGTAGAGTGTGTTCGTGTCGATTTTTAGGGTTTTTGGATAACAATCGACAAAAAACACATTTTTTTCGGTTTTTCTGATGCTTATAACTTTACAACGAAACATCGTGGACAGTTAGGCAACCCTTTATTTTGCTCAGAATTTTTTGCTCTTTCAGATGACTATATTTAAAAATAGTTTTGTCGATTTTTCCTAGCAGCTGAAATCTCAGTCGACGGTTTTCTGGAAAACTTTTTTTTCAGAAAGTTTCTTTTGAAAATTTGCCACATATTGTAATTGATAGAGCATTTGAAGGTAAAGTACTGTGGGACAGTCTCGAATCCCGAAAAATCCCGTTTGTCCCGTCCCGTGGGACCATCGGGATTGTCCCGAAAAAATTTCGGGACGGGACAAACGGAATCGGGACAATATAGAAAAAACCTATGTCCCGAATTTTTTATCCATATATGAAATAAGCTAGTATTTATTTGAGCAATAAAAATATTGAAATAAACAATAATTGAAATATAATCTAGCAATAATTTTCAAGCAACAAAAAGACTTTATTTGAGCAATTTTATACTACTAAACGTACAATAATTAATTCATTAAATAGCAGTAGTCATTTCATATTTTAGGAATAAAAAAAAGAGAAACTACATTCTTGTCAGTTACAATTGAAAATAAAAAAAAAAGAAAAATGAAAAGGGAGTATATTATTATGTCAATAAAGCTTTTTTTTAACTTTAGATGGTCTGTGTCTTTTTCTTTTTGTATCTATTTCCATATTTTTTGTCTCTGGTGGAGGTTTACAATATTTTAACCTGATGGATATACCAATGATGTGCTTGCAAATATAATTTTAAGGAATGATTGGCATTTTCCTTTCCTCTCATATATATCTGATGGACTTTTCCTTTCTTTCTGTTCTTCTTGCTTTCATGCTGTTCCATGGATTTTTCTTTTGTTGTTCGTCATCTATGGGATTTTCCAGCACTTGCCATCGCCCTATATATAGCGTTACGTTTCTTATATGGATGCAGATATAGGAGATATACATAGACTGATACATATATACATACGATGAGATTGAGATCTCACACCCTTTTCAAATAAAATTTATTTTATATAAAATTTACCTTTAATTTAAATAAATTATTGCTCGTTCAGTATTATTACTGCTAAATTTAATTATTGCTCATTTAAATTATTTTATTGCTCAATTAAATATAAGTCTATGGGCTAGAGTACTGCGAAACAGTTCCGAAACCCGAAAAATCCCGTTTGTCCTGTCCCGCGGGACAATCGGGACTGTCCCGAAAAATTTTCGGGACGAGACAAACGGGATCGGGACAATTCAAAAATTTTCGGGACGGGACAAGCGGGCTTCGGGACACGAGAAAGTTTGTCCCGCAGATCTCTATTTCAAGGGCTATCCAAATCACTATTTGGATTTGACCTAGCTCCTTGTCTTCATCGAAAAGTTTTCAAAAATAAAGTGTCTATATATTTATGTCCGCTACTTAGTGTACTGCGTGATTGATATTTTTGATCACGTTCACGGTCCCAATCACGACCAAAACAAGGTCGTGAATCACGATCACGAATTGTTTCTTCAACTGTCGTCACGATCACGAATATTCAGAATGTTTGGAGACTAAACGTTCTCATCATTCTGGTATGAAACCTGTGTCAGAGATTGGCAGCTCCGACTGGACACCGTCTGCCCCATGGAGCTGGCTCTACCATACTTTCATTTTTCGCTTTATTACTCTGTGAACAAAGATGAAAAAGTTGACGAGAGAAAAGCTCGTCACCGGCTATGCACTGCAATGAATATGCTATTGTTATGCTTTAATCAACGGCAACGATTGCGACAATGACTGACCGTTCATTTAGTTGGTTGTTCTACGCCTAATTGCACTTTGCTATTGTTAGTTTGAAAATGTACGAACATGACGTCGACGAAGAGAGAAAATTCAATAAGTTAAAATGTGTGATAAGTGAGCGATGATAGAACAGAACAAAATTTCTCATTCAAGTGTAAGTAGAACGAAAAAACTCTACAATGTCAGAACAATCATATAAACGGATATAACTCATTAATAAATATCGATCGATTTCTTCTGTACTTACAATTATTAATGGCAATATACGATAAACAGCCTGTAGTATCAGAAAAAAGTACTGCTGAACAAGAATTAGAAAAATATCTTACATCTACGTCTATGGTACGAGATGAAGAAGAAGATGACATACTTGAATATTGGAGAGAACATCAAAAGTTATTTCCATTAATTGCTTCAATTGCTCGCAAAATACTAGCTATTCGAGCTTCAAATACATCAGTGGAACGGCTATTTTCGTCGTGCAAAAACACCATCACAGACAAGCGAACAAGATTAGGTGCTGAAAAACTGAACAAAATGATGTTTTTACAGAAGAATATGAATTTATTAAAGGAAAAATTTCATGTTAATTTTGCTGCAACAAATGATAATCAAAATACAAAACGAAAAAATGCTATACAACCATTTTAAATGAACAATCAATACAAAAAAAGATGAAACTGCACGAAGTGGCAATTGATTATCAAGATGATGATGAATATTTAGTAAATATTGAAAGTGACAATGAAAAATAAATGATATAATTATATGATTTTCTTTTTTTTCTCAGTTTTCTCTTTGTGTAATAGTATTTGATCAGTTTATATATTTTCTTTATTTTCTTATTAAAATAGTGGGGTGTGGGTGTGTGGGTGGTGGATGTTTGTGGGTGGGTGTGTTGATATGGGTGGGTGTGGGTGCGGATTTGTTGTTGAAGAACAGAATAATACCCACAATCACATACCC